TATTTCCAAACTGAACCTTAGAATACAAATACAAATATATACAATGCAAAACCTTGCATTGAAACATATTTAGGCCCCGTTTGATTCGCGGGAATAGGGGTTTGGAATCGGAATCTGGATGGGCTATTCCGATTCCAACTGTTTGGTTGGGTGCAATTGGGATCCCATTCCCATTCCTTCTGGAATGGCATTCCCCCGTTTGAGGGAATGGTCATTCCCTACTCCTCCTTTGGGAATGAAATCCCATTCTCATTTTCATTGCTGTCTAAACCAAACAGACTATGGGAACAGACCATTCTAATTTCGATTCCAAAATTATATGGGAACAGACCATTCAAAAGGTTATATGAAAAGAAATATTACAATCAATAATATCGGGACTCTGGAGCATTCAAACATTATATAATAATTATCACTCCATTTCAATTTTTATTAATTTTTTGGGAATATTTATTTATTTAGTATTTATATATAGTAACTCTTTTTTGAATAATAAATATATTTTCATTTTTAACATATAATTGTAAAATAAAACATATAAATAGGTTAAGGTAGATAAAATAAATTATTTATAATTTTCAGTTTTTGTTAAATTTTTTGGGAAATTAAATATTAAATTATTCATTTCAGTTCTTGTAAATATAATTTTTATTTTCCATTAATTTTGTTGAGAAAATTTATTTATTTATTAATTTTATATAATAACTATGTTTTCATTTTTAACATATAATTATGTGTAAAATAAAATATATAAATCATTTAAGGTAGATTAAATATATTATTTTTATAATTTTTAGTTTTTATTATATATTTTAGAAAAATTAATCTTAAATTATTTATTTCAGTTTTTTATAATTATATTTTTTAATTTTTATTAAATATGAAAAACAATTCAAAAACAGTCAATATATAGTTTTATCAATCTAGGCACGGATATGCTTCCGTATCGATGCATATCATACCATATCCATTGATGTGGTGTGATACGGCCTGATACGGAGGCGTATGTGCATGACTCGTGAGATACATTCCTAGTCGTAGTGTATCCCCTATCCATGACCATGGATACGGATATGATACACCCTATATCAGGAGTAGACCTGTTCATGGGCCGGGCCGGGCCGGGCTCGGGTCGGGCTTTGACTCTTTATTAACAGAAAAATGTTAGGCCCGAGCCCGAGCCCGACCCAACCTATAACTTGGGCCCGAACCCGAGCCCGACCTACAACTTGGGCCCGAGCCCAAGCCCGGCCTACAACTTGGGCCCGAGCCTGGCCCTGATAAAAAGCCCGAAGCCCGACCTAATAAAAGAAATTTGAATTTTTCCCTATTCAAATAGATATTATCTATTTTAATTCAGATGTTTTTTCGCCTATTTAAATGAACAATGGGCCTACAAGTGAATCAACAACCTTATCAAATAAAAAAATTTATTCAAATGAACATCACATAGGATTTTTACTTAGGTTTAACTATAGGTCGGGCCAGGCCGGGTTTACTTAGGTTTAACTATAGGTCGGGCCGGGCTATTTTGGCAAAGCCCGAGCCCGGCTCGAATTTTATGCGGGCTGGGCTTTTTGACCCGAGGTTAAGCTCACGGGCCAAAAAGCCTATTCAAGCCCGTCCGGGGGTCGGGCCGGGCCGGCCCGGCCCCGTGGGCCACCCGGCCCATGAACAGGTCTAATCAGGAGTATTGTATCAATACTTTAATTCGTGCACATAAGTTGAGTCTTTAGCATTGCAACCTTACTTTTTATGAGTAAGAAAATTAATTCTATGGAAGCTAATGCGTTCACAAGCCCATGTGCAATAGGCCTTCAATGGAAACTAGCTCAGAATAGAGAGATAAAAGCGATTGTTGACTTGTAGAAAATATGCATTAACATTAAGTAGGTGTTTGGCACTAAAGCATTTCACAAGTGTTCCGTTTTTGCTGATGTATCATTCATGCCACATCAGCAAATAAACGAAATCAGTAAGAAAATCGCATTTTGGTTGTCTATTTTTTTTTAAATATTTTTGCAATGATTAGTTCTGGGATTTGGAAAAAAAAGGGTTTCTTGAATCATTAAATTGATGAATCTTGAATCACCTTAGTGATCTTGAATCTTGAATCATTAGGTGACATGATACATTGAAATTGTGAGATGTTATACAATTGTGATTATAAATATGTTATAATAATAAGTCAAATCATTTTAAATGCCTAATCACCTTGCACCTCATTTTTTTTTTAAAAGGTGAAAATTCCTGGCCCCACCACTGGTGCCAACATCCACTAAATGAGAAGCCATGATCACCCGAGTGTTTCTGTTTATCATGCATCCAGCATTCAATGAGATCGTAATGGGGATGGGGTTCTCATGGCTTATTACCTTGTGAAAGCGGGCAGACTGATTCAACATATTTGCTTACTTCGTTTCTCTCTAGAAATTTGCTCATGACTTTCACAATGAAAGCATACTCGTTGGAACATTGCCATGCTATGCTTAATTTTACAATGAAAGCATGTTCATGACTTTCATTTGTTTGTAAATTATGAATTGCGTTCCTATCTGATATTTTTCTCTTTTGCATTAGGTAGTGCAAATTTTACATTACAAAAAATTAGTGCAGAATTTACACCACCTTCTTCCTACTTCAATTCTTTATCATATAAAAGTGGAGACCACATCATCTTGCATTCTAACCATCCTCCCTCCCTTCTCTTTCATTTAAAGTGGCGGTGGCTTCTTTCTAGTTTTTACTTCCTATTGTGCTTCTAACAAACAAATATCTACACCCAAACCTTTTTCACCTTAGAGAGCTTCTTTTTTACCCAAACATTTTTAAAGTTTGTGTTCACATAAAACAAGTTTGGCTAAAAATGAAAATCTAAGGTGGGTAAGAATGTGCACTAAAGAAACTCCAAAACTTTCAATGAAAGCAAAACTCTTTTTATTTGTGTTCACATAAAACAAGTGGGTAAGAATGTGCACTAAAGAAGAAAGCAAAACTCTTTTTGTTAAGGAAAAATTAGCTTTTATTTTATGAGTGATCTGGAAAAATAGGAACTCCAAAACTTTCAATGAAGGTACTACTCCCATTCCAATAATTTTAGATAAAGCTCTAAATATGTTCACGGAAACTTTTGATGGGAATAAATTCAGTACCTCTACCACATCTCACAAGAGGTGGAAACAAATTAGTTGGAAAGCTCCAAAATATGGTTTTGTTAAGATAAACTTTGATGCCTCTCGTAATAGTGATGGAAGCTGTTCGGTGGCTTGTATAGTCCGGGACCATTATGGTAAGGTGTTAGCGGTCAAAGTATATAAACTTGGTACTTGTTCCATCAACCAAGTTGAAGCATGGGTGGCATGGGAAGCCCATGTCCTAACTACAAACTATAGGGGGTTTCCTATCATCATAGAAGGAGATTCGTATTTTGTCATCTCCTGCCTCAAAAGAAAAGTAGATGTTCCTTGAAAGATGGAAGGTATTATCTCAAGTTGCTTATGGAAAAGGGATCTGTTTGATGGAGATCTTCACTATCAACATGTCTACAGAGAAGCAAATTAGGCGACTAACTAGCTGGCTCGAGAGGCTTTTTTTTCTTCTTCTTGTTCTCTAGATTTTAGCATCTCATCTCTTCCTTTTTTCTTCTTAATTGTTCTACTGGCTTTTGGGGACATACTACCCCCCATTGTGTAGTACATTTATGTTTATTTTCAAAAAAAAAAGACCTCCTCAAATAGAAGGATATTGAGCGACAAACCAACTGAACTACCAAGTCATCTCCTGTTTGAATTCAATTGAATGAGTTGCTTTGTCTTGAGTAGTAAGACTTGAACGACTTGTAACTTTTGACTTATTAAATTTATGATGCGAGAATGAACAATCAAACCCTCCTCAATTTTAATTTTAATGAATACCACCTAATTGATTACCACTTTTATTATACCATAACTCATTGGTTATAAATATAAGCTTGTCTTTTCTGGTATTATGGTCAACCTGTTTGTCTTTATTATTACTGTAACTCATTTTTTTTAGTTTTATGACTATTTTATCCATCAAAAGACAAACCATAACTCATTTAGCCACTTTCAACCTACTATCGAACGAACAATCCATCAGAACAGCAGAAACATTAATTATGCAGCATGATTGATGGAAAACAGTGGCTTAGAATTGAAAAATGAAGCCTTAAATGTTTCATAGTGATGTCATAACTGAAATAACTAACCCTAATCACATTCCAACAAAATTATAAAATAAAAAATAAATAACTGAAAAAACTAACAATTGGGTCAGTACCTACAGATGGTTACATAGCATTTTACTGGTATATACAAAACATTGGTATATTCACTGATTACATAGCATTTTACACACAGCGCGGCTACTAATGGATTTGGATCAATATACCTACAGATGTTGACTACCAAAATGCCCCAAAGATACTGCCTCGGCCAATTACAGCGTTTTCAGCAGTGTGAAAAGATCAAAAGACTGAATTTATTTCTCCATGAATGATTAGAATTACCCATTAATTCCACCTCCACTTCTTTTTTTCTTGGAACACATAAGCTCAAAGTATGTTAAACCATTGTCCTCGAAATCATTCTGTTTACACTATGCATTCGGTATACGCTTAATTTGGGAACGAACTTGTGATCAACGAAGAATTTGTTCTCCAACAAGCACGTAGAACCATTATTCGTTTCATGAAAACAAACTTGTTAAATTTATCAAATTTACCCAAATCATCGCGAAAATTAAAAAATCGATCAGAGCTTATGAAAAGATCACATTTGTCGAAGTCTCCTCGTTTCCGGTAGGCTACACAGTACAGTCTGCGTGGATAATTCATGTGCCGAACACCATTCGAGTCTCTTCACAGTCTTGACATGCATGTACGCACGCACGCGGAAAACTCTAACCCAAAGCAAAGAAGTAAAAAAAATACAAAGACGAAACCCACCTAACCCAAAAAGGTACGAGCTCGTCTCATCTCCGTGGTCACATTAGTCACAGTCTTTCTCTCTTTCAAACCTTTGTTAAGAGTTAAGACTACTTAAAAAAGCTCACTTTTCAAGAATCAGTGTGACTGATGTGTTTAAAATGGGGCCATGACGACGAGTACATATACAGCATACAAAACAACAGATATGTACATGGCGAGTCGGTGAGAGATGGTGGATGATGGATGGAGAGCAGGGAGAAGACTGGAGAGTGTAGCACTCGGGTACATTGTGTGCGTTTCCCAAAGCCAGAGGGCCAAAGCCAAAGCCAAAGCCACCATCTGTTCGATATTTACTAGTGGGGTCTGTCTATTTTAGAAGGCGATGAAGCCAAAGGACGGTTCTTTTATGCTCTCTGCGTCGTCTTCTTCTGCCCTAGCTGTTGAACGTGGCCGAACCATCTGCAATTGTGGGAAAACCCTAACCCTAGTCATAAACCCTTTGCTGCTTTCGCTTGAAGACTGGAACCGTCATTTCCAAGGTGTTTGTGTTGCATGTATGCCTTTTCGTTCTGAAGTTTCTTTATGAAATTTGTTACTCTACTAGTATAGTTTAATGGGTGTTCCACGTTTTCCCAAATTTGAGCTTTGTTTTCTTGCATGATTTAATGGGAGGAATTGGTATGCTAAATGTTGTATTTTGGGTAGTCTTCTTATGAAAGGAGGTTTCAAAATGGTCTTTTTTTGGGTGTTCTCTTGCGTGTTCATTTCTCTGTTTCTTTTCTTGAGGTCGAAATCTGAATGTGGATTATGCTTTAACTTTGTGAAATTTGGTATTAGGGAAGGACTGTGGATTTTAACTTTACAAGGTTCGTTTTAGATTTTCTGGAGCCGTGCTTTTGTTTACACGTGTTTATTTATGCTTCTGTTTTGATCCAAATGCTACAAATTTAACTTTCTTTTATCTTATTTTTCAAAATACATTTCTAGTTTGCAGTGTTTTGTGAGTCTGGGGTGTCAAGGGGGGAGATTCCTTTCTGTAATTTTCTCTTGGGAGATAATAGAGAATTCTGCACTTTCAGTAATTCCTGTAGGTTTTCTCCTAGAGAAAAGGAATAAGTAGTTACAAATCTTATACTAGAGTTAATGTGAGCATTAGAATGCTTCTTAATGCTCTTTCATTATTTTTTCTTTCTTTTTTGTGTTGGTCTTTAGTTGCAGGTTTTATAGTGACAATAGGATGGCGTGAACTGAGAGTTTTCTTATGTTGATGCATTGTGGTCTTTTCCCTTCCCCATGTTTATTTGCAAGGTTGTAGACAAAGGCTTCTAAATTTAATGAAGGGAGAACTGGATTTTACTCCACAACGAGAAATTATTTGCTTGTTGGGGCTATTTGAATTAATTATTTATTTTGAGAAATGTTGAGAACAATGTAGCTGTGGAAAGGAGTTGGCAAAGATGTTATTCAGCAAAGAAATTGAGTGTTTGTATGACGATGACTTTGAAGGTTCAATTGATGAGCACCGAATTTTTAGGGAGGTCTTCTATGGAAATGAATCAGGAAGTGCTGCTAAGAGATGTCTTGTTACTGGGCTTATCAATTTTGAACCAGAGAACAGTTACTGCCCAAATACATTGCTATGCACAAATAGTGAAAATTCGGTTCTAACCAGTCAGTCCTCTACAAAAGATATATTTGTGGAAGTTTCTGGTTCTGTAAATGATGATTTTGAGTGTATGAAGGGGAACCTGGATGGAACTAGCAAAGGACTTTCGAAGTCTGGCTGCCTTCTTGAGAGCTCTACTTCTTTGAATGACGCTGCAGTGAAAGCTAAGAGGATGCAATGGTCAGTTGATCAAATTTCTGATGTCAAGGATAAAATTACAACTCAATGTTCTGATGTGGGAAGGGATTTGATTCAATTGGATCCAAGGAAAGAAATTCTTTCTGTTGCTTCTCATCCAGAATCATGCCACATCAATCAAACAACAATATGCCATTTAGTTGAATCTTCCAGTGAGGGTATTATCTCAAGTTGTTATTTTCTTAAGCAACATGGAGAGATGGGCAGTGAAGTTCATGCAGATGATGGTGACGCTTTTAATTATAGAGCATCAGAAAACAAGTGTAAAGTGTCAAGATTTCTTGGAATTGCTGGAAAGAAAGTCCTTGAAAGTAAAGCAATTAGTCAACCTCTTCCTAACGAAAGCTTTGCACCTGAGCTTTTGGTTGCTGATTCATGCATCACTGTTGAAGACAAGTCTGGAGCCCTTCTGGGTTCCAATGAAAGATCAGAAGAATCCATTATTTTAAACTCTGACATGGTTAATGTGTGGCAGAGGAGCAATTCTGCAAGGGATCCCCGTCCCAATCTCCGTGCTCATATTGATCGTTTATTTAAGGCTTCTGGCTGGAGCCTTGAAAAGAGGAAAATGATTAGCAGGTCTTATTGGGCTTCAGTCTATATATCACCCAAGGGAAAAGTTATTCGAGCATTCCATATAGCTTGGAAGTCCTGTGGTGAAAGTTTGTTTGCTGATGGATGTGGTTTAATGCAGGAACATTATGGGAAGCAGTGGACTAATATCAACCAATTTTGGACTGACTTATGTAATACATTAAAAAATATTGTAAAAGAGATGCATCTGATGGATAGTACTGCTGTGCTGGCTCGGCATTGGAATCTTCTAGATCCATTTGTGACTGTTGTGTATATCGACAAAAAGATTGGTGTACTAAGAGGAGGAAAGGAAGTTAAAGCAGACAGGAACTCATTGTTGATTGATTTAGACAAGAAGCCAGATGTTGCTTTTGCAATGGAAAATGTGGATGGAGTTAGGGAGCAGATTGCTGGGGATTTGATGTTAGCTCATGAACTAGGCACACGGGTGGATATTCATTCTCATAATTCTTTCCCTGTCACTACTAGAACTGTAGATATAGTGGTTGAGGAGGTTAAGGAACATATTCTCAAGGAACAATATAGCAAGGGGGATTTCTTGGCCCTTGGTCAGTGGCGACATGGAGGGGAAGGAAACACATTGAAAGGTATGCCAATTTATGTAACTACGGAAAAGGGTAGGTTCCCTGGAGCAAATACCAGAAGTAAGATTAGAGATCAGCTTGCAGGAACCTTAAATGATCAAATGAGCAGCTGGAATTTGAGTTCCGTACCGGTTCTCTTTTCAGACATCACAGGTGTCCGACCAGATGGCATGCTGAATAATGCTCCAACTACTTCAGGAACTGTAAATATGATGGATGGACAAGCTGGAGATCTCCAGAACTCTGGTGAAAGAAGTTCTGGAAGGAGGCGCGGAAGGAAAAAGAAAGCTATTAAAGATGCATTGGTTGATTTGTGCAAGGAAAATGCTGTTATTTGTAAAAGAAAAGATATTGATAGGATGGAAAATCAGTTAGAGAGATCTGCTCTGGATCAGTTGGGCTGCAGAAATGAGATTCCAATAACAGCTTGTAATTCAAATGGCACATTGGCACAGGTGGATACTTGCTTGTCTTCTACTATTTTAGTTTCTAAATGTGTGGCTGAGGGGATTGTATGCAATTGTAGTCAGAAGGGTGGTGGTGACAGTAGTTGCTCAGTGCTTATTCAACAAAATTGTGAAGATGAGGATCTTGTACTCAACCATAGCTCCAAAGGGTTTAGCAGGAAACTTTGCTGTGATGGAGAGGTAGGCAAAGGAAACCTAAAGAACAAGGCAAGGGTCATAGAAAGTGAATCTGAGGTTAAAGTAAATAATGTGTCTTTGAACTCATCAGTTGATCTGCGTAAAAATTCAAGCACATTTTTAAGTGGTGTGAACCTAGCGACAGGAGGGTCAATTCATTCTATACCAGAAGGGTCCAATGCAAATAATTCATTGGTGCAACATACTGTGATAGATCAAGCAGATGAAAGTATGCCCTTTGCTTTGGATGTGGAAGTCAATGGGATAGATGTGCTGAAGAATTCAGTGATGGAAAGAACACAAGAGGGTATGTTGTCTTCTAGACATAATGGAGACTTTGTAACAGGTCTTGAACTATGCAAGCAATCTGCAGTTGAACAGCAGAAGATGCTTCTTTATCCTCAAGAAAAGATATGCCATGGAATGATAGAGAACCCAAAGGAGGATCTTTCTCAGAGAGGCATGCCTGAAATCATCCGAGAAGTTACAATGCGACGTGAAACACGGTCTTCTTCTCGAAAGAGAAGTGTCTGCAGGGAAGGTTTATCATCTGATATGGACATTAAGAAAGATAGTTTTGATTTTTCACTTGGCCAAGGAGAACTAGTTTCGTCATTCAAAAAAGAGAAGAGTCACAGGGCTGCTGAATCATCAACACCCGAGAATGATCATGAATCTGTGGCTACAGAAATCAGATCAACAAAGATGACATATAAGATGTCTAAGAATATTTCTGAAATTAAGACAACCAAATTAAACAGAAAATCAAAGAAGTTATGTCTATCATCACTTCAGAAGGTTAGAACACGGAGTTACCAAAGAAATAGGACTCATATGCATCTAAAAGAACACCAGAAGTGTTGCAAAGCTAATGCAAGAAATGATAGTAGTCGCAGAAGATCTTCCCCTGCCAGCAGTCTTCGGCATCAAGGTGCAAAAGGATCCAAGTTTAAGAGGTTTCATCACCAGTGCAATGGATCAGATGAATTGCATGTGGTCACCCCAAGTAGGAAGCGTAGAAGGAAACTTCACTTCGAGAATGGCATTGATGAAATCCCTTTGCAGGTGAACAGTATTTCTCTTGCTTCCCAGAATTGCAAGAAAATTGGCAGGTCAAGAAAATCTGTAGTCCACAGTGAAAATGGACCAAAGAGATTGCATAGATGTCAGATTGAGGATGATGACCTTCTGATTGCTGCTATTATTAAAAACCAGGATTTCAGCCCCTCCACCAAGGGATCTACTGTGAAGATGGTCTGGAACTCAAAATCTTCAAAATCTGTTAGAAAGCTTAAAAGTCAAAGGGGAAGTTGCAAGTTGCTTCCACGAAGTCCTGGTAAGGGTGGAAAGCACTACAAGGATGGTAAGTGGTCGTCCTCAGGGCCAAGGTCAGTGCTGTCATGGTTACTTGATTCTGGTGTAGTGTTTGTGAATGATGTGATCCAGTATCGGAGCCCAAAAGATAATTTAGTGGTTAAAGATGGCTGGATTTCAAGGGATGGTATACTCTGCAAGTGTTGCCGTAAGGTATTTTCTGTGTCTGAGTTCAAGGTTCATGCAGGTTTCAAGCTGTATAGACCTTGCATGAATCTTTTTATGGAGTCTGGAAAGTCATTCACCCTATGCCAGCTTGAGGCTTGGTCTTCTGAATACAAGTCCAGGAAAGGTGGCAGGCAAGCAATGCAAGTTGATGAGATGGATCAAAACGATGATACATGTGGACGTTGTGGAGATGGTGGGGAGTTGATATGTTGTGATAACTGCCCATCAACTTTTCATCATTCATGCTTGTCTGCACAGGTTTGTTTCCTGCCACTGTTACATACACATGTTGATCAGTAATTTATTAAAATATCAGTTTCAAAGTGGTCTGAACCTCCCTAATTATGAAGATGAAGGGGACAATAATAGCAGCATGGCACCGAACACACCAGCAACCGATAAAATAGAGATATAATCTTACAAATCTCCTCTGGGGCCTTGTATCCCCCATGCCAAATTCCTCCTTAGGAACCCCTGTTCTAGCTAGAGAATCTGCCATTGCTATTTGTTTCTCTTGGGATCTGCCTGAACCAGTGTAGGCAAGGTGCCAAAACTTTTGCTTCTCTAAACATAAACCGGTCGGTCCAAGTAACTTCACTGCTCAATGATAACCAGCTGATAACTACTTTGCCATCCTCATCTACCATCAGATTGGACCACTTTGAAGAGAAAACTAATTTCAGTTCTTGAAGGAGTGCCAATGGTTCTGCATTTAATAATGTTCCTTTACCATTTGGATCTGGTGCCACTTTGACATATTTTGTGATGTTTTATATGGTAATTGGAAAAAGTATATTAAACGATAGAGAAAATATACAAGTTGTACGTGGACATTATAGGCCAACTAAGGAAAGGAAGTGGAGGTAAACTCCAAAAGGCAGAAAAAAGTTACCCTAGCAAAGCCCATTCTCTGTACAGTTAGCACACATATGTAAAAGAGGAAGAAAAAGACCAAAAACCAAAATCCTCCACAAGTGACCACAACTCCCAGCAACAGCAAAAGAAGGAAAAATTATGATATCCACCACCTTGGGCATCTACCGCCATAGCAAAAAGTTACCACAGTCCAAGATAACAAGAAAGCACACCCCCAAAAAACAACAAAATGATCTCAAAGCCCCATGAGCTTACCCAAACCAAAACCACAACCAGACCTTGAATCTCTAGGCCCTCAACCCATGAAATCCACATTTGTCATTTCTTCCCTCTACCCCTTGAGTATCTACTTTCAATGCATTGCCTCAACCCTCCAAACATTCTGTGCTTTCCCTTAGAACTGTCAACGTTGCTTGACTCATCCCTAGCATCCAGCTATTTTTACTTGATATTATTTAATGCTTAAACCTTTCATTTCTGGAGGACAGAATTTTGACATGAATATGGGGTATCAGACATGGGAAAGATCTAAAATCATGGACATGTCCCACTCCATGTAAATGCATACAAATATATGAGCATGTGCTTTTCTGCATGTGGTTGCATGTGCATTTTGAATGTTACCAAAATGCAAAGTTAAATGGTGTACTAAAACAATGAGACAGTCATGTAATCTGCATAAGAAATGGATTTTGTGTACCTTTTGAAGTATATAAATAAGGACAAACATTTCCATATTGTTCAACCTTGTTTCTGACATATCTGTTGCATTGACATGTGCCTAGCATGCCTTATATTTATCAATACTGTTGCTTAGTCACTCATTCTTACTTTCTCTCTGTCATATATTATTGTGATTGATACTTGAACCCTCTAGGGAATAGGGATGGCAGTGGACTAATTTAACAGGTAACCTTCCTTGTCTTGTCTCTATTGGGACAGGTCTGGTGTCAAGGTCCCTAATTGGGTTTGCACCAGAAACCTATCTTAGCCTATGAAGCTGTACTTTGTTGAGGTTATAGAAGCATGATCAAATTCTTTGATTTTTTTTTTTTTTTTAAATTTGTTAAGGCCTGGTTTGTTTTCAGAGCTGTTTTATTTGCATTGGTGTACAAGTATGGGAGTGCAAATGATTTAAGTGCAAAATTTGATTTATTTTTGTTTCAGCTATTGCTTGATTTTGTATGTTTAAATTGCAATTGAAGTAAAATAAAACTTGAGTAAAAAAAAGTAAAACCCAAAGCAAAAGTGAACCAGAATTTGCATTCTTCTCATTTGCGTTCTCATGCATTTTTACTAGTGCAAATGAAATTGTGCTGCAAACAAACAAAGCCTAAAGGAAAAAAAGGGAAAGGATGAAACATTTCTTCTTTTTCATCTCTCCTTCTTCTTCCTCTTCTGCATCCTTTTATACCTACCTACTTATATGCCTGCCTACTTTTAACTCAACCTTTAGCCTTGATCACCTAGTGGCTGATGGTCCCAAACCTTTTTTCTCAGTACTTGCCTTAACGTTCACCTTCTAAATGGGGATTCAAACCATGATTGTCACTATTAATTAAGGAATGGTACATGTGATATGTGCCAAGCTTCTCATCTTCAGGTTAGAAAATGTATGTTACTCAGATGCGTCAAAGACATGCCGGTGTTTTAAATGGTGAGCCTATATACAGGTGAGGCACACTTCAGGGCATGCCCCTTGTCTGAACCCAAGCACAGTCTATTCCAACTTGGCGTGTCTTGTGCCTCAGCCCAGGCATGCACCTTTTTTAAATTGATTGTTTTCTTGTTTTTTAGGGATTCATATATGTTTTTTAGGAGTTCATATATTTTTGATTGTACACTAGTAATGGTCTATTAACTTTTAAAATGAACAAAAACAAAGACCTATCAAATACCTAAAGCTTTAGTTTTTGCTAATAGCATAGTTTTCAAGGCACCAAGGCGAGGCTAGGCGACAGGGGGGCACCTAGTCGCCTAGGCGATGGATTTTTTTCAAGTAAAAACATGTATCTTTGGGTAGTTCCCTAGGTTCCATAATCCTTAATAAATATCCATAATTTTCATATGAAAAGAATAAACTTCATGTTAAAGTATAGAAAATCAACATATTCCAACATATTCACAAGAAGAAAAAGAAGAAAGAAAAGAAAATTCAAAAAATATAGGGCCTGAACCCCTATTTCTGTTATAGGAAAAGAAGAAAAGAAGAAGAAATTAGTATATAAAAGCACAAAATTAGTAAAGAAAAAGAAAATAATGTGTTGATTGGACAACATTTTATGTTCTTTCTTACTTATTGGTTCAGGTTTTGAAGTCTTTGAGGGTTCAATACAGCATTTAGCAATGTTTGTGTTGATTAAACCCTAACAAATAAGAAAATAACAAAAAAGAAATTAATATATAAACACACAAAATGAGTATTTTAGTTTAAAAATGTCTATTTTATAATTATAACCTCAAAAAATTAAGAATATAAAAGTTTGTTATACCACGCTATAGAAAACTGCTTGGTGATTAGGTGAGGTGAGACTCCAAGGGTGCCTTGTTGCCTAGGCACCTGCCTAGGCGTCGCCCTGACAACATGGGCTAATAGCATTTCAAATAACAAAATTTCCAATAAAGAAGCAATACCGGTACAACTATATATTTACCCTAATCCAAAAATAGAATGAACTGGGACTAAAATGAGAAAACTAATCTCTTTATATATATGGCTACGAGCCAAAAATTTAGGTCTGGGGCACTGCCCCAAACCCCCATGTGGACTTGTTTGGGCTTGCCTCAAGGAGCTTTTACGGAGCTAGTGAGCTAATCTTCTAGGATTTCTAGGATTAGGAATGTAAGGTGTTTAACATAACGCTAGTTACTTTAAGTAATGCAACTAGGAGATGGATAAATAAATTGACATGAATTGTTGAGTGCTTGAAACACTTTGGTACAATTTACATATGTTTTCTATCACTTCCACATTTTCACTTTGAATTGTTTTAATTTGATCCAATGGGTTTTTTAAAATATTTAATTTCTTTTAAAATTCAGGTTTGAATTTTTATGCATTATTGTTTTTTTTTGTATTTTATTTTGATTGTTTTTGCACATCGGGCTCTAAAGGCTCTTGTGCTATTTTTGTGCCTTGCACTTTTAAAACATTGGACATGGCTGGATATGGTATTGGATACAAAAATTAAGCTAAAAATTGAAGTATCTGACATCATATGGCACTCTTGTACAAACATTCAATATTGTAGAGGAAACTACCACCTAAGTCCAGCTATTGCTATTACACTTGATGCTCAAACAAGAGTTCTCAAAATAATTGATCCCCTTTTGTCCCTTGTTTGGCCATAGTGTCAACCAAACTATTTGTTGACCTATGTATCCAATGGAAAGCAACTCCAAATCCCTCACATCTGGTTATCCCCATCCCCGTCCCCACGGGGATCTCCATCCCCACGGGGATCCCCACTCTTTGTGACTTTTTATAATGTCAACCATTTAGTTTTTCTTTTTTATTTTATTTAAAAAATTAAAATTTACAATCCTATTAAAAAAGATTCAAACATATTCAACCATATTTTTTAAAATATTAATATATAGACATATGCATACATATAACATATATATTAGTGGGGATCCCAACGACTCTAATTGGAGCAGTTCAGAAGAGGAAGAAGGTGATACCAGTTCAGATGAACTTTCTAGTATTGGAAGTATACAGGGCTTGGAGAAAAATCCCTCAGTAGAGTTGGAAGAATACAATTTGGAGAGTTTTTTCTATCTGCACCTAGACCCTCAAGTTTCACAAGGCCAGACTAATACACCAAACAGGAGGGTAGGACTGTTAGTACTAACGCCCCTTCGAGTCATGTTATTACAAATACCCCTTCCCTCCAAGGTAACTCTGTTCCTTTGTTTTTGGGTGCTAATGTTGGAAGGTGTAAGTGGAAGAAGGGAAGGCAGCATAGATAGTAGTTAGTTGATTGAACGACATGTCCAACTATTTCAGGGTAATGCCTTGTATTCCAGAAAGGGGGAAACAAGCCAGAGTTAGGAGCAAACACAGAGGGTTAGTTGACAATACAGGAGTTCAGCCAGAGGAAGAACACTGATACTCCAAAGAAGGTTAAGGCACCAGGTTTGGTTCAACCCTGGTTTAAAGCTGGAAAGTGACCAGCCAAAGGATTACACCAGTAGGAATTTGCTGAATTAAAAAATATGAAAGAAAGTAGTTTCTTGAAGAGAGAAGGAAGAGAGAAGGAGAAGAAGAGAAGAAGAGAAGTTGAAAAGAAAAGAGAGCAATAATCCAGCCGCCCCCTTCACTTATTATTTATACTAAAATAATAGAATAGTACAATGACAACTATGCCCTTATAGGGCGG